AAGCTTTACTAAATCTGCAGTTAAACAATTCTTTTTTTATATCCAGAAAATCATCATTAAAAATGCATTCACTTGTCACATATCATTTTACTGTACCGTCTCGGGTCTTTTCTTGCCATCAGGCTCAATAGTGTGGAAGCAATGCTGGATAATGCTGTTCTTAGACTGTCGCATGACCTTAACAAAATAACAAACAACTTTAACATTTCAAAGAGACGAGAAGCAAACAGTAAATGCATGCAGAGGAGGAATCTCTTACCTCTTTAATGTTTCTGTACAGAAGATCATTATTTTTGTCCAGAAATCCTGACATATGGAAATCAAACAGGTCAAGTTAAGGAAAAAGACTTGTTAGTCTTAAAACTGGTTGCAACGAAAGACTTGAAAAACTGTACAAAAGAATCCCTCTTAACTTAGTGCTCAGCCAAAAAACGCAGGTGCAAATGAAATATTCATCAAAGGCGGCAACACCAAAGCTCCAAAAATACAAATTTATTAAATTAAAAAAGCTGACACAAAGCGTGTTGACTTACCAACAACCGAGTAAGTAACCTCTCCAGCATAGTGTAGAAGTCTGAAGTCTCCTCGTTCCAGGGTCTTGCGTGTTTTCTGGTCAGCCAATTTGTGCCTGAGATTTGGAGAATGTTAGATTACCACAGTTTAAGCTCTTGCTGTGATCAAACCATTACCTTGTTAGAAAAGCAGTCAATTCAATGAAGTAAATACTAACATATATATTTTATTCTAACAATATATAATATATAACATTAATACTAACATATATAATTTATATATTTTTTAAATCTTCTTAAAAGAAGTGAACAAATTTGTATTCAACTACTCTATGTAAGTTCTTCAAATAAGCTTTTGATTAAAAATAAATATGTTTTTAAAAACTATCTGTATCCATCTAATAAAATAAATTCTCCAATATTTTCATAAAAATAGTTGTATCATTACATTACCAATTAGGCAGACTAAAACATGTAATATAGCCTATATGGCACTTGTTCTAGATGCAAACAGATGCACATTTCCCAAAATGCAACAATGTTTTGACTAAAGCCTGTGACTCTAATAAATAAATTGATTATATTTAATTTAACAGATTAAATCCTGCTCCATGAAGTTTTTAGTTATCCTAGAGACCTTGGTGGCAACTGAAATCACATACTTTCCTACTATACAGAAAGCGAAAAACAGTAAGTTACCAAATTGACATTGCGTTATTGCATTTAAGACAGGGGTGTCCAAACTCCTGGAGGGCCAGTGTCCTGTGGTTTTAACTCCAACTTGCCTTAACACAACTGCAAGGATGTTTCTAGAAATCCTAGTACAAGGGTGGCCAACCCTGGCCTAGTAAGAGCTTGATTAGCTAGCCTAGGTTTGTCTGATTGGGGTTGGAATTAAACTTTGCAGGATACCAGCCCTCCAGGACCGAGTTTGAACATGCCTGATTTAAGACTACCATTAAAGTGAACATTAAGTGGGATTTCAAAGGTTTACCCACGTGACAAAATGAGGATGGCCACTCATCTTTCCCTCTAGCTTCTCCAGGAATGTAAAATCTGTGGCTTCTCCAGGACGCAGACATTCTTCATCCTTTATTTGTGAGACACATTATATGGCAGATGTGACCATTTGTCTTTAATAAAGCTTTAAAGGGATAGTTCACCCAATAAAGTATAGATTCGGTCATTTACTCACCCTCCACTTGTTCCAAAGCAGTTAGAGATTCGTTCTTCTATTAAACACAAAGCTGTACTGAAGAATGTTGGAAAGCAGCAGCCATTGTCTACCCTATATGTTTATTTCTAATATGGTTGTCAATGGCTGCAGGTTTCTAACATTGTTCAGAATATCTTGTTTTGTGTTCAACATTTTGAACCACATGAGTAATGAGTAAACGATGAGGAAAGTTTCATTTTTGGGTCAACTATCCCTTTATTGTGTTTCAGCTTGAATCCGTTTCACTCACCAGTACTGATATGATGCCTCTGTGTTTTTCCTCCACCAGGTCACAGATGATCTTATTGTTGAAATATGGCACGGGTTCCCACTGACATATGTCAACAAGAAGATAGCACACATGGTCAAGCCGATTTATGGCACAAACTATCACTGTCCGAAGATTAAGGAATATTGGTTTCAAATAAATGTTGCATGTACTTCACCTCGATTCCCTCCATCTCGTACTCCTCCTGCTCTGATTTGAGAGTGAGCTGGATGAAAAGTTGCTGAAGCTTTTCATTGCAGAAGTTTATGCAGAACTGTTCAAAACTGAGGTGTAAACAAGGTATTCATACACATGATAACCATTAGTGTAACACAATGAATCACATTCTACATAAAATTTACATAATATATGAGTGTGTATTGTGTATATTTATTACACACATATACATATATATATATATATATATATATATATATATATATATATATATATATATATATATATATATATATATATATATATATATATATATATATATATATATATATATATATATATATATATATATATATATTGGAATTAATGTAAAATTACAGTAGGTGTGTTGATTTTAATAGAATATATATATATATATATATATATATATATATATATATATATATATATATATATATATATATATATATATATATATATATATATATATATATATATATATATATATACACACACACACGCACACACACACACACACACCCACACAGATATATTTATTCAAATAATATTTTAGTTACTGAATATCTTCAGAAATAGAAAAATAATTAATTTAAACATGCAAACTATTGCAAAACAAATACAACTTACAAAATTTCAACAGATGTTTATATATTTTTTTGTTTCTCTTGATTTTTATTTAACATATACATATGTTATATACATTTGGGACCATTGTCTTAAGATATTTTGTCAGATTAGCTCCGGATTTGGCTTCAGTACTGACTAATCTAATGCATAGGCACAAATATAATATCATATATATATTATTGTTTTGCATATACTGTAAAAAGGTGTGCACACATATTATTTAAATACATGTGCTTTAGCGTTGGATGTGATTCATCATGACTAGTCATTTGACAAGACTAAACATAAATCAAAATGTCTATTTAGTACTTTACAAATATTTAATTCACATTCCGACAATTTATTAACATGAAACAGCAATAAGGTCATCAGCATAGTGTTTTTTAACATTAGAGTTGGCCCATTTCTTTGTGTCTAGAGGGCTTGTTCTGACACTGTACTGATGAAAAGGTTATTAATTAATTTTGTTGACATATTAACCCCTTTCAAGAGTATTTTTGAAGGAAACCATTACAATAAATGCATGTGGTGAATGTGTACGGTTACAGTGTTTAAGGTTTACCTGTTCACATCAAACACTTCAAATCCATAAATGTCCAGCAGTCCTATCACTGTCTTTCTGGTTGAATCCTGCATTGGTAATAGATTAATAAACTTATAACTCATTGACTAATTCACACATTTAAATAAACTACAGTAAAAAAACTGAGTATGTAAACCAAGCCTACCTTATTTGCCAAGGATTCGTTTATCTTATTTACAAGCCATGAGAATGTGCGGCCGTAGATGGCTTTGGCTAGTGCGTCCCGGGCATACTTTGCATGTTCAGCAGTGAAAGGGCTTAAAACCTGAAAATAAAAAATACCACATAATCATGCATTTCTGAAATACAGTAATGTTAATAATCATAACAGGGTTTTTATACTCAACTAAAACCCCAAATTAAGCTATTTTTTGTTACTTGAAATACAACAAATGTCAACTAAACTAATATGTATCATACTTAAACTTAATTTCTTTCAGCTTTTTGTCAACAAACTATATAAATTTAAACAAGGGTACATTTACACCACACCTTTTCAGGTAAATTCAAAACATTTTTTATGTTTACGTGAAACTACAAATGTTAAGCAGCTATGCAACGTGTCATACACAATACATTAAACTACTTAACTGGATTGCAGTGAATGAAATAAATATCACTAACAAGCACATGCAATGTAAATAGGCTAGCATTTAATCACATTGACTAAATTAAAGTAACTATAAGTACTTGTACATATAGACAACGCTACTAAGCCTCTGTTCAGAATCCTGCCTCACCTCTTCAGCTTTGGCTTCAATCTTCCTGTGAGTTAAACCCTCCTGCAACATGTCTGAGGGGATGCCTAATAACTGAGGGAAAAAAGACAAAGCAAGAGGCCAACACTGGCATTACAGCGTAAACGATCAAACTTGTAGTGCATAGCTATTCCAAATCTTAATATAAGCGACAGTCAAACATACTTTAGACAGCCAGTGTATTTCCCCACTGCTGTTCAGTCTGGCATAACCCTGAAAAGTGGCCTCAAAGTGAACATTGCCAAGATGAAGAACACTGGCAATGATCGCAAACAGATGCTGGAACAAAAACAAAATATTAACCAATGATTTCCAGGGTTCAATGCTAAGGTTTTTTTTTTAGAATTATGCTTTATAGGTTTAAATTATAGACAGAAATAACTGATGAACCGGTGTTGTGCCAAGAAACGCACCCCTGTTGTAAAATGTAGCCCCTCTGAAATGTGCATATATTAAATGAAATTGATAAAAAAAATATAATAATAATCGAGTTATGACAACTAACTCAGACTAAGGTGACTATCTTCCTTACCTTATAGAAGATATTAGGTAGATTTAATTTAAATGCAATACTGATTAGATTAATTAAAGTGAATTGTTTAATGTGTGAATGAGTGTTTATGGATGTTACCCAGCGATGGGTTGCGGCCGGAAGGGCCTCCGCTGCGTAAAACATATGAAGGATATGTTGGCGGTTCATTCCGCTGTAGCAATCCCAGATTAATAAAGGGACTAAGCCGAAAAGAAAATGAATGAATGAATGTTTAATGTGTGGTTTAGTTAAAAACTACAACAATTGTATGTTCTTCGTTTGTTCAAAACCCATCAAAATGCCTAAATTTAGAAACAGGCTCATTACATCAGTTTATACTACAGTCAATATTTTTTATTTTCATTTATTTGTACACCTAGTTTTATATCACATTTTACTTCTTGTTTATGCATGATCCATCATATTAGCTTACGTTTGAATCAATTATGGCTATTGACTTGTTTTTTGAATATAGACAAAGAATGAAAGTCTATGAAGGGGTGCATTTCTCGGCATAACACCGGGACTGCAGTCAGATCATAAAGCAGATTAATGTTGATCTTCTTTAGAGGTGTCAGTGCTGAAATGGACAAAACAACAGGCCTAATACAAAATATTTTAAGATTAAAATATGAAAAAATTATCAGATAGTAATTCTGGTCAATTTTCCAAACGGATAAACAGCACTCTGTAATATTTTAGCATCCTTCACTTTCATATTCGACATGAAACGCACATTTGCTTGTAGGAATGACATCCCGCCCTACTCATAACAGCTTAATACAAAGACTCAAATGTGAATAACAAAGATCATCTTACCTCAATGTCTTTTTCACTAAACTCAATGATAGTAAGTGCTTTCTGTACAGTTTTCCAGTCACTCTTGTCATTAATGGAGCTCACTTTGGCACATTCTCCCTGTCAAAAACAATAGAATCAATGTATTTTGGTTATGGCTCTGCTTGTATATCCCTCATTCTTCTTTAATTTCCAAACACATTATTATATCTGCGTTCCTTACCTGAATAAGATAGCGGTAGCTCTGACAGTTTCGCTCCAAACCAAGCCAGCGAAGAAGCTCATCCTCTCCTCCTTCAACTAACTGATAGAAAATATGGAAGTTCCTTTCTCCATGATTTTGGTGAACAACCCTTGACTTCTCCAATAAATAACTTAAGATGTGGCCTCCAACTGCTGCTCCCTGAAAGAAAATTAAAAAAAAAAATTCACAGTTAATGAACGCTTTCTCCTATTCTACAATATTTGAGAATCTGACTTCTACCTGGTGGTCGAATTGTATGTCCATATACTTTCCAAATCGACTCGAGTTGTCATTTTTCAGGGTTTTGGCATTTCCAAAGGCCTGTAGATAGAGTGTTCTTATGCTTCATACTTCATACATTGAGCATGTGGATTGAGAATATACCAACAGACAAAATTCTGACCTCCAGGACGGGGTTGGAGAGAAGGAGGCGATCTCTGACGTTGTCCAGGAGTCTGGTGCTCGGGCAGCTCACAGCATAAAACTGCAGGACCTTCTTAGAGGCCTCCGTCTTGCCTGCACCACTTTCACCAGAGATGAGGATGAAGTGGTTGCTGGTTTCACTGATCATTGTCCGATAAACATTGTCAGCAAGTGCAAAGCTGACAAGTAAAAAAAAAAAAAAAAGTAGCATTAAATAAACATCACATCTGAAAACACTGTTAAAATCTGTCAATATTCATTTAAGCCCTGCTATACAGTCAGTGATATAAAGTAATTACAAATACTCAAACTACTGTTATAGAGTAGTTTTTCCTCAGAAATTGTAATTTACTAAGTAGTTTTAAAATGTATACTTTTATTTTCCCTTAGGTACATTTTTAGAGCAGTATCAGTACTTTTACTCCACTAATTTCCTTCAACCTGTAGTCACTATTTTATTCTTGTCTATGGGGATTAGAAAAATCAGTCCTGTGATTCCTGTCCAATCAAATCGCAGATAGAATGTAAAAATCGCATCATAATGAACTACCTCAAGACATGCAGCAATCTGATTGGAAGCATTAAAAGTGACCAAGAATATACTTTACATGCAATGACCCAAAGACTGTCTGAATGTCACTGATGAGAAGATAACAGATGTTTATTGTATGATGACCGAAATGGCCTTAAACAATAACAAAATGAACTACAGAATGTTACGTTTACACACACATCCACAAATTACATGTAAATGCATTAACCTTTCCCTGCATAAAACTCACAACTCCTGAATACTTTGAAAAGGGCTATTTATTCATACTTTAAGTAATTTTTCTAACAGATCATTTTAATCTACTTGCAACACAATTTTGGGCAAGTAATGGTACTTTTACTTGAGTATGATTTTTCAGTATTTATTTCTTTTCATTTCAATTGAATATAGCCAAAAAAATTTTTCTACATTTATACAAAACAGTTTTATTAAAAAATTAATAATACAATGAAAAATAATACATTTATGCAAGAATTTAAAGAAAATTGATACATTTTTCCTGTTCATCAAACTTTTATTTAATTGTAAAAACCATAAAGCTCCATTAAAGTTATTATGAGAATTGAAAACAATATTTAATATTTTACTAATATTTTATTAGTTAGAAAATGTTATGAATAAAAACATCAAAAGAATAAAAATATTTAAAATAGATTTCTTTGGTAGGCGCAATAACCTAGTGGTAAGCACACCGACATTTAGTGCAATAGCACATCAGAGCATTTTGAATCCCGGTTCGAGGACATTTCCCAACCCTATCCTCCTTTCTCTCTCCAACTTCGCTTACTGTCTCATTATGTCCTATCTAATAAAGACCAAAAATAAATCTGTAAAAAAATAGAAATCTTTTGTACATTATAAATACCTTTACAGTTTTATTTAGCACAATTTAAAGTTGACATAAAGTGCATATATTCAATAAGTAAATAGTTTTCCAATTCCTACATAGTAGGTATGTGTCTAATGGTGTGTTAGCAAAAAACAGAAAATGTGAGCCCATCTAGAAAATCTCGAACGCAGGTGCTCGATCAAAAACAAACATTTGTATCAAAAGTTTAAAAGAAAATCGGCACACTGCTACTTTAGCTCTCAAAAAGTCTTTATTGTAACATTTAAGACTTTTTGAGAGCTAAAGTGGCAGTGTGCCGATTTTCTTTTGATCCAATGGTGTGTTCACACCAGAATGCGCAAATAAATCATGCTATTCATGCGTAAATAGACCCGTGAACATTTTGAGTTAATTTGCGTGTCAAATTCACTTAATTCAAACATCAAATTCACTTCACAATAGATGCAGATCTGAATCATGGGCAGGGCTTCTGTCTGCCTGGTGACTCTAGCTTTGTTGCTAAATGGCTAACATGGATGTTATTGAGATAGTAGCTGTGCTTTATGTGCATAGATTCATTCTGCCCACGAGATACTTTCAGAAGTGTACCCAGCTCTGTGAGACTGGATGACGGAGGCTTTCAGCGGTGCTTAAGACTAAGTCGAGCCCAGTTTGATGAACTGTTCAATTCACTTCAATTCAATTCAATTCAATTCTTTATTCAAATCTTTATTTCTCTCTTGCTTTTAAAAAGTAGATTGTGTCAAAGCAGCTTCACATAGAAGGTTATAGTAAATTGAAACTGTGTCAGTTAAGTTTAAGTTCAGAGTTTAAGTTCAGTTCAGTGTGGTTTAATTGTCACTGCTGAACATCCAAACACTGAAAAGCAAATCCATCAAGCAGCTCCACTAGTCCCAAACCAAGCAAGCCAGTTGTCCTCTGGCGGCAATAGGATTTCCCCTCAGGACACCAATAACAAGCACTACGTCAAAATCTCTTCTCTACAAGAGCAAGCTAATGATTGGTTACCGCTGTGAGAATGTCACGCTGTGAACGCTCAACCCGTATGAATTGTCTCATTTGCACGAATTGCATCGTAGGATGTTTATTCGCATCTTTGCATTGACTTAATATGTAAATCACTTGCGCTTGATGCTTCATCCACGTCTGGTGTGAACGCAGCATTAGGCAACTTACAAGATTTCCCAAAAATGGATTTATATGCTAAAAGCCCAAAAATTACCCCTAGAATGAAATTCCATATTGACCATATTTGGAAAGGTCGTGAATATTAATGAGCTCTGGTCTGATTTTTAACAGCTGGTGTTACTTCCTGCTCTCTCTCAAACACACACACAGCATGATGTACTCTGAAATAAACGTGTACAAAATAATCGTATTTAATTTGTCAAAAATATGAACAAATTTAGAAGAAATTTAAAAAGTCTTTAGATTTTCGTCATATGGTACTATTATTACACATTTTTTATTTATAACAGTTATATGTCTTTCCTTTGATTATATGAAAACTTACATATGAGGCGGCAGCTCAAAAAAGTTGACTCCCATGTAAATGTCCATTTGTTTCTTGGTGTAGATACCCAACTCTTTATATGGATTAACTGACACCAGAAGGGTCCCAATGTAGGTCTAACAGAAAAGAGAAAAACAAGCACATTTAAGAAAAAGTTAGGTCACACTCGATTTTGATGCTCTGTTTGTTGAATTTAGTTACAGTGCATGTACATGCCAACTAATTCTCATTAGATTATAAGTAGACTGTTAGGTTGGGGTAAGTGTAAGTTGACATGTACTTGCAAAGTTTCTTATAGTCAGTTAAATGTCTGCTGAAGAAGCAGTATCAGCAGATATTAAGCAGACAGTCTGCTAATACTCAAATGGACCATCAAAATAAAGTTTTCCCAGAAGTAAAAAGCCAGTCTTTTGCCTAAGTAGTTATGAAGTTTATGAATATGTAGTAAATATGATGTATATGATTTTAACTTTTTCTCATGAAAGGATCTGCCAGCATATGTGAACTTTAATTGGTTAAAGATGAACAATAAGTAAATATGACTCCTCATCAGTTTCGTATGTGAGGTTTTTCAAGGTGCCTTTAAACAAATTCATCATGCTGAATCATCAGCAAAGTGAGTTTCCATTGCCTGCAAAAAGCCAAATGAGATGTACAGAGAGCATTTTCCTTTAATAGACTTCTTGTGTGCAGTGACCTGTGTTCAGCATGAGAGTCCACATTATTCTCTCCCCCATCTCAATAATGAGAGTAACCGTGATACTGGATATTGCATTGCCGGCCTTTATCATGATCTATTGCACCTACTGGAGAGAGAGGAGGACTCACATATATGAGGTTCTCATTGAACCGTTTTTTGAGGTTGTCCATGAATGCCGTTTCACTGGTGTAGGCGTCTAGAAGGACAAAGTCCTGAATCCCCACCCGGTCCCGGGCCGTCAGAGAGCCCTCCATCTCCTGCAGGATCCGCTGACAGCGCTCCTCTAAACTCTGTTAATCACAGACACCAAAAATAACACAACAGGTGTGGGTCAGCTATTATTAAAAATGGCATTATGTCTTAGTTTTTATGTTGGCAGAAGATTAAACTCCATACTATTGAATAAATACTGAACAGATCATTCTTTGAATGGCAATTATTGCAAAATAAATCTTAATAACAAGCATAACCTACTTTTATTTACTCCAGCTTTATTATATTATCCCAACATTAAGTAACATATCAGTTCGGGTGTGGACTTGAACTAATCCTGTCAACAATATAGCATCAGAGCCCAGTCTTACTTATCTAATCTAAAATGGCTTTCTGTACAGTTCATCAATCAATGCTGAGCATAGCAGGGTCCATCCTGGTTTTCTGACAAACAGGATATTATTTTTGTGTGTTGATAAAATTGTACAGTATGTCCTCTAAAAAGACCCTATATATATATATAAATGGTATGTCTTTTTGTATATTTTGCAGAGTCCACCCTGTTGGCCATTGTCCACAGGTGGCTGAGGATTTCTGTTAGGCCAGCAGGATTTTCATCTGATATTGCAATATTTTACTTTTTTTGTTATGAATATTGTGATATGATTACAGTTTTACAAAAAAATTTTTGAATAGCACTATTTGACAGTTTTCTGGGTAGCTTTTTTACATTGATTTGTCTCATTTTTAGTCCAAATATATAAAAATTCTTAGATTAAGCAAAAAAAAATTTTTGTTTTCAACTTCAAAAGAGTTCATTCATTCATTTTCCTTCAGCTTAGTCCCTTATTTATCAGGGGTTGGGCACAGTGGAACGAACCACAAACTTATTAAATAAGAATTAAGTTAAAATTAAGTTTCTTTTTCGTCTTAAAACAAGCAAAATTATCTGCCAGTGTAGTAAAATAATTTTGTTTTCACTTTTTTTCCAAAGGAAAAAAACATTTTAAGTAAGGTAAGGTAAATTTACTTTCAATTAGGCTCATATGAAACTAATTTAAGTTTTATCTACCTTTTTTGTGGTGAAAGGTGCACTCTAAAATGATCAAATATATGATTTTTGGAACAGGAAACTATAAAAAAAAGATCATTATTTTACAGGCTTTATTAGGTTAGCTCTATGACTTTTATAACACAATGAGTTATTTATTAGATTTATGAGCAACATACAAATTTGTGAAATGTTTCAACATGGAAATAACTTTTAATGTAACTGCAGAGTACTTTTAATGCAGTTTCTAATTGTGAATTACTGCATAAACATCCTTAGCATTACTATTATTTTACCACATTTACACAGTTCGTATTATGGTTTGGGATATACTTAAAGACTAATTTAAAACTACACCTGCATGATATTTTACAGAAACAAACTACTTGTTTGGTTTCCTTGTATTACAGATCTATCTTCATTATTTATCTAATAAATGTATTTAATAATAAAAAGTGAGTAAAGAAAAGTCCAGTAGCAGCCCTTACCTTCAGTGCAGTGAATGTTTAGTCTCTGTGTAGTGATGTGGGAACTGTGTGTGTGATCTTAACCGGTTTTGTAACGAGCATCTGCGATTATTTCAAGTATGACAGGAAACAATGTCATATCACACTCACCACTTCCACCATGGGAAGTCATTAATAAAAAGTTTGCTAAGGAAGCGGGGGTCTGCGTGTATGTCAAGAAACATCTGTCTGAAACAGAAATCGTTATGGATTTATTGCCTTGCATCCTGAACAGCGCAGGTTTGTCCTATCTTGGTTCCGTTAAACTTGAGGGCAAAACTATTTCTGACCCAGATTACACAGTTTCTCTCTGTTCCCATCATGGGATGGATTTTGGGCCAAGGTCAGTCACGGACATACACAAACTCCCAATAAATGAACTATTCCTGTCTGATGCTACTGATGCTTGATTTACCTCAGGTGGAACACACACATTCTCTCTCCCTCACACACACACACAAATCACTACCTGAAAACATCTTAAACCACAAGACACACACAATGAATTACATCCGTTTTCATTCTGGAAACTGTCAACTTGTGATTCTTTCAGCAGTTCTTGACTACATTACTTAGAGGGGTAGTTTTGGATTTGTTTGTATGTGTTTATCTCAAAAATAGATGACTATTGACATATGAATCACCAAGAACCATGAATTCAGCTGAAAATCCTCTTCTAAATCTTCTTTTAAAAGTCATCTAAATCTTCAGTGACCTGAGGGTGAGTAAACTAACTGTACATTTCCTTTTTTGGATGAACTATCACTGTCAACCCAATAAATTAACTGTACACCTCAAAAGTGAAAGTGAAGAGACCAGGAAATGTTTTAAAAGACAAAGCTGGCATCACACACGAGTCCTGTCTATCAGCTGGCAAAGAGCACTCAGACTAGAGCCAAGATGAGAAGCCAAGCCTCCGGCAGTCTGTCAGCGTTCCTCTCTCATTACACACAGCTTGTCATGTAGTGCATCTATTTAAAAGACCATCATGATCTTAGATTTAAACTCACGGTTGGAAACTCTTCATTCTCGATTCAGATCTCCATTTGAAAGACTTTTTTTTACTTTAACATTAGTAGATTGTACAATCTGAATATTTAAATATTGATAATTTTCCCATTATAATGGTTCCCTTTAGACCTTTTGGTGACTATATGCAACTCTTCAACTAAATATCAACTAACTCTCATTAGAATATTTGTAAACATTTAGGTTATGTTTATGGGAATAAAATGTAATACTTGCAAAGCTATACATAGTGACTTGTATTCAGTAGATTATAAAGGGGACCAACAAAATAGGTAGATATTCAGCAGTCTAAAGACTCTATTTTAACAATCTAAGCACATAGTCTAAGGCACACAGTGCAGATGTACATCTGGCATGTCCCAATCCACTTTTGCTATTTTAAAGACAGAAAAATTGTCCTTATTCTGGTCTTGGCCTCCTTCATTGGCGTGGATTTGTAAAATGGTGGTTGGTTGTTTTAGACTCATTCCAATCCATATTTAATTTTGTAATTTTATTATAAGTTTTTTATAAAGTTTGTATTATAAGACAGGGTTGTCTCTGTTTTTAAATATTTAGGTCTAATTTTAGATTCTCAATTAACATTCCAAAAGCATGCCAAGAAGGTTATTAAAATTGTTCAATTTAATCTGGCCAACTTCAGGCATATACGACCTTACTTGACTAATGAAGCAGCAAAACTTTTTAGGCACTCCATGATTTTTTCTCATATTACACATTGTCTTACTAGTTGGTCACATGCTATAAAACCGTTTTAAAATCTGTTGAATCACTTTATAAACAGGCACTGAATGTATTTGATCAAAAGTCTATTAGGTATCATCATTGTAATATAATACAAAAACATTATTTATTATTAAATAATCTATTATTAAGATTGGGTAAAGTTGAGCTTACCAATATTTTTCAGCTGTAATTACATACCTGATCAGGTCTGAATCAAAAAACAAAAAGGTCATTTAATTAAGATTTCCATTTTGGTGTCACTGTTACATTTCCGAGTGACATTACAGCTAATTTTGAAGGAAAGTCTATCTGACTGACTGACCATCATCTGAGAGGCCATTCTATTGTCCCAAAACTCCAGTATGTCACAGGATCCCAGTTCTCAGCTCACAGTATGGCTTAAGACTTCATAAAGAGCTAGAGCTCACTGTAGGCCACTAGCATAGTTTTGTTACTGCCATGACAAATATTTTACATTAAATGTCAAAGTCCAAATTTTCCCTCTTCAACGTTTTTCTTCCATTTCTTTTTCATTTTTAACATTTGGTTTTCCCTATGCAAGTTTTAAGATTTTTGTGGAAAAATGTAAATGACTTTTTGTAGAGTCACATGCAATTCTAAAATGTATATAAGATAAACAGAGGTACTTATGCTCTAAATAATATACAAATGAAATTATATTAGTTATAACTGAAAAATTGTGCATACAATTCACATACTTTAAAATTATTATTATTTTAATTTTTTTACTTGGTTCAGTTTATGTAGGCTATTATTACATATTCAAAAATCAATCAGGTACAGTGATCTGTTTTTTTCTGTCTATATGAATCACAAATAAATATGAAGCCAAATGTGTCAAATATTTAGCAAAACTAATAAGTAACCAAAATTCTACATATTTTATACACATATAATCTGCTTTTTCATCAAACAAATACAATAAAATGTACAACTACATATGAATTACCTCAGTATCCATTGCTTTTTTTCCCAGAAGAAATGACTCCCTGTTCTCCTAGTATTAGTCCTTAGCAATTCAAAGAGCTTTCAGAGTGAAGTTTGGCCTGACATGACGGAAACTCAGACATGTGATCCACTTCACATTCGGTTCTAATCAATTCTGCTCTCTTTTTCCCTATCGCACATCTTTTTTTCACCTTGTTAGCGTTCTCAGGAAATTATTTCAGTTTAAGCGGCTCTAATAAACTCAGCCCGTGGTCTGCTCCAAGATGCTGAATGATTCATGCAGGGGCAGCAAGAGAAGATCTCATTCAGCGCCTCTCCTTAGCGGCCGCTGCCCCACCATGTGTAACACAAGGCTGTGGAAACCTGAGCTCGCACCCTATACTCCCTCCCCTCCTACCTGACTTCTTCTGCACAAAATTACATTGATGGAGTCTCGTTACTGATCTTTGATTAGATGGATCCCTTTCTGCTAACTACTACCCACTCACCAAAACGTGGCCCGTGGCTCCTTGCCCGTTTGGTTTCAAATTGGCTCATTTTTTAAGTTTACAAAATGATGGCGGTGTAATGGTAGGGTGGTCAGTTGAGACGAAACCCGAGTTAGTGGATGTTTACCTTATTACTGTAAATGTATGCTTAAGTACTGGCCTCTCTCAGGTAATGTATGGCTCAGTTGCCCTACTTCACTTTTCAGCCTCTTGTCTTGAGATATTTGTTTCCATTATTAATCAGGTGACTGTAAATTATAATGTGTATAATCAGTGAACGTCTTGGCATATAAATACGATTCAGGTTTAAAGCTGCACAATATATTGTTTCAGCATCAATATATGAAATTAGCATACAGATAAAGGCAAAAATATTAGCCCCTTTGTGAAATCATAATTATTTTTCTAATAAATTAAAATAATTTTTATTGGATTTAGGAAATTTTCACAGTATTTTAACTATTATATTTGTTCTTCAAGACAATTCATTTGGCTGGAATAAAAGCAGTCTTTAGTTTAAAAAAAAATAAATAAATGTCTGACTTTGCAGTATAGTACAGCCCTATAGGCCAGTTTGACAACAAACCTTTGTTTGTAGTCGAAAAGCAGACAAACTGTCACCGGCCACTTTATTAGGTACACCTGTCCAAGTACTTGTTAACACAATTACAAGGCAGCAACTTAATGCATTTAGGCATGTAGACATGGCAAAGACGATCTGCTGCAGTTCAAACAAAGCATCCGATTGGAGAAGAAAGATGATTTAAGTGACTTTGAACATGGCATGGTTGTTGGTGCCAGACAGGCTGGTCTGAGTATTTCATAAACTGATGACCTACTGGGATTTTCACGCACATCCATTTCTAGGGTTTACAGAGAATGGTCTGAAAAAAAGGAAATATCCAGTAACTGGCAGTTCTGTGAGTGCAAATGCCTTGTTGATGACAGAGGTCAGAGGAGAATGGCCAGACTGGTTTGAGCTGACAAAGCCAACAGTAACTCAAATAACCCCTTGTTACAACTGAGGTGTGCAGAAGAGCATCTCTGAACACACAATACCTCAAACCTTGAGGCAGATGGGCTACAGCAGCAGAAGACCACACCGCGGTGCCAATTCTGTCAGCTAGGAACAGGAAACTAAGACTACAATTTGCACAGGCTCACCAAAATTGGACCATAAAATACTGGAAAACCACTGCCTGGTGTGATGAGTCTCAATTTTTGCTGCGACATTCGGATCCTATCAACAACATTAAAGCATGGATCTATCCTGCCTTGTATCAACGGTTCAGGCTGGTGGTGGTTGGGGATATTTTCTTAACACACTTTGGGCCCATTAGGACCAACTGAGCATCGTGTTAGTGCCACAGCCTACCTGAGCATTGTTGCTAACCATGTCCATCCCTTTATGACCACAGTGTACCTATCTTCTGTTGACTATTTAAAGCAGGATAACTCACCATGTCATAAAGCGCGAATCATCTCAGACTGATTTCCTGAACATGACAATGAGTTCACTGTACTCAAATGGCCCCCACAGTGACCAGAACTCAACCCAATAAAGCACTTTTGGGATGTGGTGGAACGGGAAAATCATGGATGTGCAGCCGACAAACCTGCAGCAACTGCGTGATGCTATCATGTCAGTATGGATCAAAATCAAATATTTCCAGTACCTTATTGAACCAATGCCAAGACGGATTAAGACAGATCTGAAGGCAAATGGGGTCCAACCTGGTACTAAGTGAGCGTATAGCCCACCAAGCAAAAAAAAAAAAAAAAGGTGACCTGTACTGTCTACATCAGTCCTCACTAAAGCTTGTAAAATGGTTTGAAAGATTAAGACATGATTAAAATGATAAGCACTTGTATTTGATTGCTGGAAGCGAATTTGTTGTTTAATTTGTTTTACAATCGGACAGATATGGAGTTTTGTGGACTTTATTACAGTGAATGTATTACGACATAAACAATACTGATTTCATTCAACTGGTGGGAAAGTCATTGTTATGACAATATTATTTACAAGAACTTGAGAACCTAATTTCACACAAGACACGCTTTTTCAGAATTGCGCGATGACGCAAAAAATCAAATGAAAAGTTAGCCTAATAATAA